CTTCTGTGACAAATGCAACCGTAGTCCAAAGAAGAAGACTGAAGAGGACACCAGAAAATGCGAAGATGCCCGTTCCTCCTGGATAGGCAGAATCAATACTGTCAAAATGGTCATTCTTTCAAAATTGTTGCACTGATTCATTGCAGTCCCAATCAAAATACCAACAGCATACTTTACCGATCTAGAAAAATACAATTCTAAAATTCATATGGAACCAGAAGAGTCCCAGAATAGCAAAAGTAATTTTGGGCAAGGGACATAGCAACACCTGACTTCAAGCCATGAGGCAAAGCAAGAGTGAAAAAAATGAGATGGTACCGGAACAGAAATATGACTGACAGATATGTCAATTAGTGGAACCAAATTGAGGCTACATGAACTTCCCCAGACAAATTCTACTACTTGATCGTCAACAAAGGGGCCAACAGTGTATGTTGGAAGAATAATAGTCTATTCCACAAGTAGGGCTACGAAAACTAATTGTTAGTGTGTAGATGACTAACCCTGGACCCTTCTCTTTCATCATATACGAAATTAAATTAAAAATGAATCAAAGATCTAGACATTAAACCTACAGGATGGTAAAATAGGTAAAGTACTTGATGACATGGACATATCAAACGTTTTTTCTAAACAGAACATCAATTGCCTTAGAAATACTAGCAAGAATCAACAAATATCAGACTGAAAGGCTGTTATATAGCAAAAGAATCAATCAATAGAGTGAACAGACAACCTACAGAATGGGAAAAGAAATTGCCAGCTACTCCTCAGACTTTAGACCAATACCTAGTATATACAAAGAACTCAAAAAATTAAACAACCTATAATTAAAGACCCAGTGAAGAATTGCTCAAGAAAATGAACAGACATTTCACAGAGGATGATATACAAATGGCCAATAAGTATATGAAAAAAATGCTCAACATCTTTGACCATTAGAGAAATACAAACTAAACAATGTTAAGATTTCACCTTACTCCAGAAAAAATGACACTCATTAAGAAATGAAACAATAACAAATCCTAGTGAGGTTGTGGTGAAAAGGAGCCCTCCTTCATTGTTGGTGGAAAATAAAATAGTACAACCACTATGGAAACCAGTATGGAGCTTTCTCAAACAATTAAAGTAAGACATTGTATATGACCCAGCAATCCCTCTGCTAGGAATCTCCCCACAGAGATTAAGACATCACAGTAAAGTGATACATGCCTACCAACATTTATAGCAGCACAACTTACAATAGTGAAATCATGGAAACAGCCCGTATTCCCATCAACAGATGATTGCATAAAAAGTGTGGTACCTATATATAATGGAATTACTCTGCTATAAAGAATGACAGATTTGAGACATTCATATGAAAAAGGATGCACCTGGAAAATTTAGTGTTGAATGAAATAAACCATTCACACAAATTTAAATACCATATGGTATCTCTCATTTGACTGAGGCAAAGTACAAACAAAGAGAATCATAGAGGATGGATAGGAGTAGACAAGGAGATGGATCTCTCAGAATAGGGAAGAGGTCTATGGGAAAAAACATGAGGGGTGAGGAGGGGAGGGGCAAATAAGTACAGTGAAGATGTGCCATGAACAGGAACTCAATGAATGTAAACACTATATGCCACAACATGAGCTAAGATTAATAGATCAACAAGAATGAAAACTGGGACAGGAGTTTCAGAGAAGTGAAGGAGTGGGAGGGAGGGGGATTAATAAGAAGAAACAAGTTGTAGTGTGCACGTGTGACCACTCCCCGAGATGACTGTAAACTCCATGAACTGCAGACGTGAACTAACACAATAAAATAAACAAATAAAATTAGCAGAAAAGTAAGAGACTGAGTATGTACTGAGAAGGCTACTTGGTAGTAGAAGACTTATCAGCAACTGAAATGCTGCCTTTGATGAATAGGTACTGATAATATAGCAAGTATAAACACTTATGAAACAATGAAAATGATAAGAATTTTGTTAGTCAAAACCCTTGGTTTTATGTCTAGATCAATTCTCCATCTTTTAAACTTTGTTCTCTAGAGAAAGTAGGTTAAAATCTTGAAGACATACAGGTAGGCAGAGAGTTCATGAACAAAACCCAAACTGCATGTGAAATACTTCAAAGAATCAACAACTGGGATCTCATCTTACTGAAAAGTTTCTGCACAGCTAAAGAAATCACCGGCAGAGTAAAAAGAAAACCCACAAATTGGGAAAAATTTTAGCTGACTGTCCCTCAGACAAAGGTCTTCTATCTAGAACATATAAAGAATTAGAAAACACCAGCCCCCTCCTGCCAAATTCAAAGACCCAATCCAAAAATGGGCATCTGAGATGAATACACACTTTTCAGATAAAGAAATACAAATGGCAAATGGATACATGAGAAAATGTTCAACATCATTAGTTATTTGAGAAATGCAAATTAAAACAACGTTGAGATTTCATCTCACCTCAGTAAAAGTGGCTATCATTAAGAAATCAACCAATAACAAATGCTGGTGAAGCTGTGGAGAAATAGGAACCCTTCTCCACTGCTGGTGGGAATGCAGACTGGTGAAACCACTGTGGAAATCAGTTTGGAAATTCCTCAGGAAACTAAGTCTAGAGGTCCCACTCAACCCAGTCATTCCCCTTTTGGGTATTTTCCCAGAGGTTCTGAAAACATCATATCACGGTGGTGTATGTGCACCCATGTTCATAGCAGTGCAATTTGTAATTCTTAAATTGTGGAAGCAACCCCAATGTCCATCCACTGAGGAATGGATAAAAAAATTGTGGTACTTTTGTATAATGGAATATTACTCAGCTGTAAGGAAAGATAAACTTGAGGCCTTTACAGGTAAATGGTCACAACTAGAGACCGTACTCGTAAGTTGAATAAATCAGACCTCTACGTGTAAGCAATGCATTGTGTCACTAATGTAAGAACTTGAAAGAGTGAATAAAAATTAGGCGGTATGATAGACATTGTGAAATGAAAGGAAAATGCTCAAAAGTAGGTAGAAACTGGGATGAGGGAAAAGGGAAAAGAAAGAAGGGGAAATTACATATGTACGTATACACAGGATAACTAACATAGTTGTACTCCTGACTTCTGTCGCTTTACTGAAAGGATCAGTTAATGATTACTTATTTGATCAATCTTGCATGTCTCTATTTGTTTTCCTGAGAAACTACTTTGAAGATATCAATACAAAATGCAACAACCATTGTTAATTTCTTACCACTTCGCAATTCAGTGTTGCTTGTATTGTTCTTATGCTATTTTGAAAATGGATGTCTGTTGTTAATACATTTTCCTTCTTTTATTTTTAAAATAAATTTAAAAAGGAGAAAAAAATAAACTTTATTCTCTGTTCATGGGCCATGATCTGGCTGGGCTATGTCAACAGGGTTTCTCTGCGTATGGTTTTGGTATGTTGTGAGATTCTATTTACAAAGAGAGGAAAGTTTCTTCTAGGTAAAATAGTCATAGTCCAGGGAATCACCCTCTTTACCTGAACCTTGAAAAAGAAATAGAGAAGCCTAAAAAAGTGGTTGATCACTGCACTGGCCAGGATAATTGGTCAAAAAAACCAGGAAAGAAAAGTGATCTGCAGGTGTGTAATGGCAGCAAAGAAAAACCCTTTATTTTATCTCTTTGAAAAATTCTTCTAGAACTTTGGGTTATCTTGAGGTATCAGTGAGTATTGACTGTCTGAATACTTCCACTCAATAGGAAGCTATCCTACCAAATAAGTGCATGGATAAAATTTAAATATTATGAGAGAAAAGTTCAAATTCATCCTAAAATAGAAAGTGCACCGTTCAGACAAAGTACGGGCAAAGGGTAAAGAACCAAAAAAGTGGTTGGTGGAAGGAAGGTAGCATACATGACCTGTCATGATTCCATTGTGTAATGACTGACAGAATTTTGTGCACTCCCTGTGTTAGTGACGTGAATTTTTCACCTGCACAAAGCACAAGTGTGAATCAGAGGGTCAGACAGGGTGCACGGTCCAAATATTTTCATTTGCATCTCTGCATCCAGCTCTCTCCCCCTCTTCCATGGACAGCATCGGTAGGGCGCCTGCTCTGACTTTGTTGGGTGTAACTAGTATAGAATTCCGGGAGGCGGTAAGAGGGGAAGTGAGATTACAGCATTAATTGCCCTGGCTTCCTCTCTGCAAGTTTCCCTTGACCTGGACTGTCCCTTGACTATGCATATGTTTCCTCATAAGACAACTGACTCTGTAAGACTTGTTTTCTTTTTAAATTTCAGGGATCGTGCCCTTTTGCTCATTAATTTAGACTTAGAGTTGCTAACAGTTCACCGGAAATAAGCTAAAGATTCTTGTATTAGTGTCTGTGGTTTCTCTAGACCCAAATCTTTGTATTTTATCCTTTTAAATATAAATGTCCTGAAATATCTATTAGGGTGTCTTATTTCTTCATTGGGGAAGAGAGCACACAACACTGTAATTTAGATGTTGGATGTCCTCCGCAGGTCTGCGTGTTAAAGACCTGGCTTCTAGTAGGCACTGTCTGGAAGTGCTGTGGACTTTAGTGAGTCGGACTTTATGAGAACCTTAGGTCTTTGAGGACATACTTCAACGCACATTGTGGGATTCCAGTCTTTTTCTCTATTTGATTTTGCTTTCTGGCTCATGAAATGAACAGTTTCCTTTGCCAAAATGTTCCTGCATTATGTTTTGTGCTCATCAGGGGCCAAAATCATGGAGCCAGTTGATCTCGCACTGGAACCTCCAGAAGCATAAGTCAAAATAAATCTTATCTTGTTATAAGTTAATTGCATTAGATATTTTCCTGTAGTTACAGAAAGCTGATTAAAACAGAAATGAACACTCTAGAGTCCTGACTTCAAATTCAAAATATAAGTACAGACTTATAAAGTATGTTTACTGTTTATTTATTAACTGTTCACTGCAAAGGCCTAGATAGTGACTGACCTAAGATCAAAGATCATCTCCAGGGTCCAGATTGTGTCTCCTGATCAATGGCTGATACTACATCTAATAGTTTTAGGTGTCAACCTGACTACATTAAGGGATGCGTAGAAAGCTGGTAACTATTGAGTCTGGATGTGTCTGTGAGGGTGTTTCCAGAGAAGACCGGCATGCAGGTCTGTAGACACATCTGCCTTCAGTGTGGGAAGAAACCGTCTGATTTACTGGAGGCCTGGTAAAGAATTGATGAATTCTTGCTTCTCTTGTGTTAGAATGCCCTTCATCTTTTGCCTTTGGATATCAGAACTGTAGGTTCCTGCTGTCTTAGACTCCAAGACTTACACTAATAGTGCTCTACCCGCTGGCTTTGGTGCCTTTGGATTGAGAGTTATACTTTGGCCTTCCAGACTTGAACTGAGTTGGGCAACCAGCACTACAGGCTCTCTCGCTTTCAGCGAGGAGCTCTTCAGCCTCACTACATGCATGAGCTGATTCCCTTATAAATCTTCCTTTGTCTGTCTGTCTGTGTATCTACGTCCTACTGCTCTGTCTTTCTGGAGCACTCTGAGTAATGAACCAGATTAGGAGCAGGAAATGTAAAAGGTGGCTCTGGAAACATGCCATACCAAGAATATGGAACCTGCCCAAGGCTACTGAGATAAGTGGGATAATTTGAGCTTAAATAAGAGTAAATACTGAAATTAATCTAAATGTAGTAAATATGATTAAATAATCAAGTTTAAAGTGTTTGTAAAAATATTGGTTACTTACTGAGGAAATGAGCTGTGGCTAAATTAGAGAAACAAACAACAACAGAAGAACATTTGGGGGCTGGGGATTTAGCTCAGAGGCAAAGCGCCTGCCTGGCAAGCGCAAGGTCGTGAGTTCGGTTCCTGGTACCGGAGAAAAACAAAAAAAAAAAAAAAAAAAAAAAAAAAAAAAAAAGAACATTTGTCTCACCTTTCTATCCGAGGTAACACCTGAAGCAAAAACAAGACAAAAACTATTAGGTGATGGGGGCGGGGCATTTCTGGAAATATTTCATGGGTTTTTTTTTGCATTTGAAAATGCTCATAAGATGCAGCAGAACATACACGTTAAGGCTCATATTTCAAATCTGAGCATATGGTACATCAAAGAAAGGGTTTTGGTAGGCAATGGGGGTCCACAAAATTTCCAGGTGTAAACTTTGTGGTTCTTCGTCCTACGTGGAAACACACCTCTGGACGAAATCACAAGGATCTGTGCAACAAATCTTGGTTTCCAAAGTGCTCAAAGCAGAAATTTCCAAGAGGTCTTTTATGCACCCCTGGTCACGTAATATCCCAGGCTCTCTAATGCTATATCCCATGCAAGAACCACCTGTAAGAAATACTAGTTACAGGGTTTAGGAAGCAGCAAGGGAGTTCTGGATTTTAAGCAGAGCATCATAAATCCCACAGTACTTAACCTAGTCATGAGTCAAAACCAGATATTCACATGGAGGTGAGGAGCAAGGAGTGCAGGGCAGAAGTGACTCTTGTTACGGAGACAGAGATAGATTTTCTTTGAAGGGGAATGGTGACTACTTGAGAGAATTTCTTCATGAATACTTTTTTAAGTAGAAGAAGGAAATTTAGTCGAGTGGCAATATTTATACATGTGAGAATACTGGGGGACGATGAAGGAAGGAAAAGACAGGATAAAAGTAGATTTTGTGTATAGAATGGAAAGCAGCCCTAATTGTTCATTGTGAGCTGCAGTTGATAGCAAATTCTTCCTTTTAAAATGAACTACAAATAACTGCATATTTAATCATAACCATTCTATTTTTGACACAACAGAAGTGATGTTTGTTTTCTTGGAATGCTGCCCAATTTTTAAAGTAATAAGAGTAGCAAATAAGACATGCTGCACTGGTCTACAATAGTTTGTACAATAGCAGGGAAAGAAACATGACTCTTATGTGAGCTGTGAAACTGCAATAACTTAAATCATTTACTTTTTGTCAATCTCACAGGGTAGAATAATAGATGGTCAGACCCAGCACACAGGAAAATGAAAAAAAGTTAAATATCAGCTGAGACATTCTTGTCGTATGCTAAAAGTCAGTTTTAAGTACTCAAAGCACCACATAGGTGGAAACTATCAAAAAACCACCATTTCTTTCAGATTTAGAAGTCAGTCGCTGATACTGTTTCCAAACAAAAAGGTTTTATTCTTATGGGGGGTTTTTACAGCTTCGCAGATAAGCTTGTGTTTGCACGCAACTTTTCATGCAGACCCTTCACAAAACAAGGGCAACTGCCTGCGCCAAGAGAGAAGGCGTTAATGGGTTAAAGACTGTGTAAGTGTCACTCCAGTAAAACTGCGGTGTTGTGCGGATGAATACTCTCTGCTTCTCGTGTAGCTTTAAATTGTGGACAAACGCTTGCGATTGTGAGCTCCCTACAACGGGCTGCCTCTGCGCAGGCTTCATCAGCCAGGGCTGTCCAATGGGATTACCGTAAGCCTCCACGGCAGTCTGCCGGGCGCTGATGAGCACTCCTCCCCCTGCACGTGAGATTGCTCTCTTCTTATTCCGTCCTGGTGATGGCTCTGATTGCTGTCAGGGTGTGAGGCTAGAAATTAGCATTTTGTGGCCCAAATTTTGCCATCCAGAACATAATCAGAAAAAAAAAAATCAAAGAATAGTAATTTTTTCTGTCAAAAGAGAAACTCAAAGCTACCATGATACAGATGTCGACAAATCCTAGGCCAGGAAACCAGGGAAGGCTGTGTGGTCTTGGTTGGTGGAGCTAAGGCAGGAGGTGTTTTACTGTTTCTGCAAGCCTCTGCTTAAAAACAAATGATTTTCTTTTTATAAAATGAAGGAAGCTGTGGGCGAGTCCTAAAAGTGTTACCACTTAAGAATAAGGTTAGTTTTTAATATTAGATGTTCAAAAATTGAACTTAATTACAAGAAACTAGTAGTATTAGGCACAAAGCTCAATTCTTACATAATTTTAGGTCTTATATCTAGAAACAATGGCTATGTGTCTTTGCTCTCTTCTAACGAATTCCTTCTTCTGGTCAATATAGTTCAGTAAACTATGAAAAAGTGAAAGACAGAGGAATTGTGGAAAACAAAGGGGAAAATGCAACTAGTTTTATCCCTGTGTTTTCTTCTCTAAATCATTATGAGGAAATGACTAAAGCAGTAATCAATGTGTTATATCAACAGTGATTGTATAAATGGCCTTGCATTAGTATTTTCTGTATTATATTTGCTTAGGCTTGTCAACTTACTGGGCAATTATTAAATAATTACTGACATTTTAGTTTTTAGGAGCCCACAATATGATTTGAATTTAAATTTAATTTCTATTCTCTATGTGGGGGATTAATTATAGCAAAAAATGAAAGCTATTTAGATTTTGGTTAGAAAAATGATATAGAGCCCTTATCTTTTGCCTCTTCCTAGGCTGGCCACAGACATGCTAATTTTCCCTGTCATTAAGAGTGCACAAGCTGGAAGGTTCTGACATGTGCGGTGCACAGACTCTGCTAGGAGTCTTGATTCTTATCCACCCACCCGCACTTATCCGTCATCTTTAATCATGCAAAAGGCAGAATTACTTAATCATTTTATTTCACTGAAAAGGAAAAGAAAGATTTACATTAAAATAATGACACAGAGAAAAAAATAAATTGAAAATGATCACGAGGAGAAGGTAATGTGGGGACTACAGCTCCATCGGTTTTGTGATGCTCATTCAAAGCAAGGACCTAGTAAAGCTAGACGTAAAAGCCATGATGATGTTAGCTGTTAGGGTAGAACCATTTTATCTTCACAATCTCACTTGCATTCCCAGGCTACAGTCTTAGCAAATTATTTGAGGAAAGCAAGACAAATAATTAAACATTAGACCTAGTTACCCAACCCTCCCTGCCCTTATCTCAGATTGAATTATGCCCTAATGATAATCTTAAAGGAGCATGACTTCAAAATTTAAATCCAGGGCCTTGAAGATAGGGAATAGTTGTTTTAATTCCAACCGTACCATGTAAGCTAAACCGCTCACACTTTAATCACAAAGTTCAGCCTCTATATATTCATGTGAGGTTTTTCTTTAAGCAAGCATTTTATTGTTCTTTTAAATATATTTGTGTGTAAATTACTTAACAATGTGTTTTATTTAAATAACATCAACAATATAACTTTCATATGAAATGGTATCTTTCATTTACTGTTTTATATGACAGATTTGGATCAGAGTTCTTTAAAATAGTTGTTTGATATATTTTCAACTTCCCTCCTTCTTTTCAATTTTATGTTGTTTCTATGTATTCTGTTGAAACATAATAACTAAGTGTTCCAAAGATATGAAATTTCTAAGTTTGTAAGGGAAGTTATTGGCAGTAATTCTTTAATGCCCTCCTCTTTTTGTATTTTATGAAAGATGCTTGAAACAATAGCCAGCTCACCTGAAAAAAAATTTATTTCAAAATATATATTGTCTTATAAGGTTCAACTAACATCTACCTGAAAAAATTCTTAAATGAAAATTTTAAAACAACACATTGTGTTGAGTAATAGGAATATCTGTATAGAAGGAAAATACTTTTTGATTTTTCTAAAAACCTACTCATACTTAAACTTCTTGTTTTAACATTTTAATAAATAGCTGTTTAACATGAATCTTACTATGTATTGTGAATATAGATGTGAAGAAAATTATTAGTCTGTAAGATTTTTTTTTAGTGTTTTCTCATAGCACAAATAATTTTAAAATACAAAGAAATTACTCCCTGTTCTCCCAGATCTTTAATTGGCCCTACTTTACTAAACTTGAATGTTTTCAAATACCAAGCTACACAAGAACCAGGTCATTCAGTGATATCAAACTACAGTTCTTCAAAATTTCAGAACGTTCAAACTTAATATGGCACTCATGCTTACTTTGAATTTAAATAGCAAAGTTTGAGATGATCTAAAGAAAATACTATTTCTCATCCAAATATATACAATCAACAAAAGAGTTCAATGTGATTTCATATAAAATTCAAATATATAATTAGAATATTGAAATAATTTTTGTTTATGTTACAAAAAGTATGTAAAGCTATGCAGTAATTGTAATTTTAAAAACCATATAATCTATATAATTAGGTATCAGAAATACATGGTTTATAATATCATTCCCAAGGACTCAGCTGCATGTATGAAAAATCAGCCACTCTTTTGCTCATCTAAAGTATCTTTAAATTTCAGACTCTGTTATTACCACTGGATGCCACAATCCTCTTGGAGAGATAAGGAAAATTCTGTTTTTTTTCATATAACTTCATTGGAGCTTTTGCTGCTGAAAAATGTAAGAACTTCCAATTACATTTTCAGAAAAATTCATCATTTATAAAATTATATGCAGTTAATTTATATATAATTAAAAATAGAAAGAAAACATCACAATATAAAAACCAATATAAAATTGAATCCTTAGCTATATAATGTTTAAGTGAATTAGTAATCTTTCAAAATTAATTAAGCAAGTATATTTTTAGTCATACATATAATAAAAATTCATCTACATTTAAACAGATAGTCACATATACTGCTTTGTTGGAAAATAGATATTTGATATTAATTCATATGAATACATGTTTGCAGGGAATTTTTGATTCTTATCACAAATTAGAAACAATAAAATTAAAAGTGCAAACTATTGTCATTTAAATATACTTCTGTGAATCAAAATTAATAGGATGATCTTTTTATGAGAAACTCACAGTTTTGTCACAGCAAGGAAAATATGATTTTCTTTTCCTGATCATCTACTTTTAAAATATAGTGTATCTTTAATATATAATTTATCACAAATAAAATCAAATACTATGCATTTGTTACACAATGATATAAAATTAAATTTAAATTTTCTTTATATTTTGCAGTAATGCTGTTTTTCAAAGATGAAAAAATAAAATGCAAGCCTAAATTATTTAATTTTTATATTGCTTCTTAAAACCTTGCATGTTTAGCCAGTAATAAAATCTTTTTATACTGATAAAGTATAAAAGACTTTTTTTATGGACAACATTTATTTCTTTAAAATTACTTGAAATACAATTACTTTCTAATCAAAATGAAACTTAGAAGGACAGAGAGAAGCAGTTAGAAAAGAGAACTGTAGGGTCAAATACTAAGGGAATAAGACATAGGGGTACTTTATCTTTACAGCAATAGGTGGCACTGTTACCTAAACACTCAGATTTGAATTGAGGAACTAGAAATATGTTCTCTGCTCTGCCTGTACTTCCATATACATAAACAAATGAGAAAATGATTAAAATTTCAAAAATTCTGGGGATATATCATTATTTACTTAGGATATTTATATATCCGGTGGTATATTAAACAGTGCAATTACAGATCAAACTTTTGGGCTAAAATATGACTTCAAATGGTACACCTCTAGTACAATTCACAGAAATGTCGACATTTTAATACAGATAGAACTGACCACTTGATATTTTTCTGCAAATTTTTACTATAAATTCTTAATTGTATGGATTTTAGTATTAGAAATTTTAAGGTGCTGTGTGAGATAAGCAATAATTTAGTGTGTATATGTGGGTGGATAAGATATATTTTCCACTGCCATGTTTCCTCTGGATTATTTTATGGAGAGGGATAAATAATCAGCCACCATGTGGTTTATATGTTTGTTAAATATAGTGAATTTTGGCAGTACTGTAGTCATTAGGTTAATAGCACTAAATGCGATTCTTTTACCCCTCCTAACACAGTTATGGACAGCATCTGAAAGGGGACAAAATAAGTGAGCACTAAATATTCTCGGAGAGTTAACACGAAAATGAGAAAAAGGAATAAAGACAAGAGCTTGCTAGAAAACTCTGCACCTTTGTATAAGCTAGAAAACACTGACACCATTGCAAGGAGATTGCAACATAACCACCGCCTCCTCCAGGTAAAGGGAGATTGGCACCAGGGCAAGGCTCCTAGAGTTAATCGTAGGCTTCATTTCGATCTCCAGGGCTCCTCCCCACCTTATAATGTGGGCTAGCCACACTCTGTGCCCTGCCTTACAAACTGATTAACGTTCCATCAGCCAACGGCTGAGAAGGACCCTCTCCCGGAGTTCTCAGACACGCTGGACAAATGCAAGGTTTAATGGTCTTTGTGACGATGCTGCATTGCCACTCCCTCAACCACATGCCAGCTACTGTTTCAACCAGCCAGAACTTACCCTAGAGCTATGTATCGTTCAGGCTCTTTGCTCACCACCATACACAGTGTGGTGCGTGATCCAAATACCCCTTCAGACTTAAGTTTTTTAACTGTTGTAAATGGTGCCCGAGATAGGCTTCAGCCTCTCAAAGAGATTGTTTCTACTAAAGAGAAACTTCTGGCCCGGGGCACACTCTTTTCCTGGGATACGCACACGCAGTATATGACATACGGATACTTGGTCCCAGCTTGGGACAACTTGGATTTCAACCCTGCTACAGAACTTCCCACAAAACAGGTTGCAGCTCCTTAAGACTGAGTCACTGCTCAGCTTCCTGTCTCCTAGAGTTACTTCTGCAATTGCCTTTCATGAAGTTGATCCTAGCGCACCACTTAAACCTCTTCCACAGTAGTAGTGCTGAGATTGCTACCTGGAGAATCCAGTCCATGTCCACATAAAGATGGGTTAAGATGGGTTAAGGATATATAAATATCCTAAGTAAAACTAGAAACCATGTTTTCCTTACTGTATAAATATTGAGTTTACTGTGCTCAACAGCCAGAAACCAGATTACAACATTGGCAAAAAAGTTCATAAATGAATTTTTACCGTAAAAACAACTTCAAGCACTAAATAACTGAATGAGAAAAATATCAAAAATTTCTGCCAACATCCAACACTACTGCAGACTATATTTGAATTGACTGTTATACATGCTCACTAGATATCATGTAGCAATTTAATTTCATTGTTTATTTCAGATCATTTATGCACATGGCCCCAGGGAAGGATACAGAGTTAACTAAGACCTGGCCTCTGTCCACAAGAAGTTACTGGACTAGCAACATTTTCAGTCTATTCACAACCGTGTTCATTGATGCTGCCGTGTATGGGGAAACAGATGTCAAGTTATAGAGCAAACAATTTTCTAAGCTAAAATATTTTATATTGTTTAAAAACCCCGTCAAATTGGGTAATTTGGATTTTTATGTGTAAAAGAGATTACTTTTTAAGAAACTAAATTGCATAGTACTTATTCTTTCATCAGATAAAATACATTAGAGTTGAATACTATAGTTATTTTAAAGATGGACAAGAAAGTAGTATTATAAATTGATAACCATGAGAGTTTAATACCTCTTTAGAGAGGTACACAAGATCTTATTTTTTGTATAATGTCACAGTAATGAAAACAAGGCATGTGTCCTACTGCCTCCAACTCTCCCCTGACGCCCTCTTCCCTAAAGCCAAGTGGGGACTAGTCTAAACAGTTCCTAGTACAGTTACTAACAATTAATTACAATGGATATTGTCCTCTGTTTGTTCTCCAAGTCGAGCCCAATCACCTCACTTTATAAAGAAAGTATTAAGCTGAGGTTTAGAAAAATGAAATCCTTGTCTAGAAAAAGAACATACGACTGGTTATAATATCCTGATCTTCCCATCTAGTTCCCTTCTCATAATACTCTTCGGGAAAATTTTGTGCTGCTATGCCAATAACCCACTGCATTTACTAATTTTTTTAATGAAAATGAGAAGTAGGTTACAGACCAGTTTTTATTGTATTATGTCTGTAGATCCTGACTGATTGAAAAGATTGGGTGCAGAATGACTGTATTCTATGGTGTGCATTGAATACCTATGAATAAACACAAACACAAATGCATACTTCTTTGTTCACTTTTAGTTTACTGCTCTTTGTTCACTTTTAGTAAGTGCTCTTTGTTCACTTTTAGTTGCACAATGTAATATATTTCGAGTCGCTGCTTAACCTATCTTTTATCCCAAATACTTTTATTACAAGAAAAGCAGACATCTCAAAAGAATATGTCAGGGCCTATAATTTTACAAGAAATTTTCTTTCTTAGTTTTATTTTAAGACTTCGTTTTCAAGGGAAGTGAAAAATTGTGGGCACTTGTTAGCGTGTACAAGAGTACTGAGACAAAGGCATTTGTGTGTGTGCGTGTTGTGGTTTATGCTGACTGTATACATACATAATGAAGACAACCTTTGAAAAATTTGGTTCTAAATGTCAAGAACCAAAAAGAACTCTATCATGTGTGTTATTAATATGTTTCACTATCTAAAAGAATAGTCCATCATGTAGTAGGAATGTCACATTACCATAATTTTCTTGTATCAAATGCATGCATTTAGCAAGTGCATTATGCCAGTGTCTGCCTTGAAAGAAGGAAATCTCTTTGTAGTGCGCTTCATGAGGTTGAACTGTCCCATCTCCTTTAAAAATAGATCAATATTTTAGAAGTAATTTTACAACTTTTTTTAAGCTTTCCTATATATTTAAATAAAGTGGCCTTTTGTCTCCAGAGTACAAAATAAAATAGAGTTGGCAATTTTCTTTAATAGAATCAGTAAAGACACAATGTGAAGTGGACAAAGTTGATCTTTATCATTTTTTAAATTGTATATTTAAACAAAATTATGAAATAACTATCAGACCAGTCAATTTTCTATTTTGCAGTAGCATCATTATGTAATTTTTTAATATGCTGATCAATCTTGAATACTTTATTATGCAAAAAATTTAAGATTTAAATACAGCTGAAAAGTGATATCTGTTAGTCAAATAAAGCAAGGCCAGAAATATTTTCATGCTTCGTATAATATTTAAACTTGAATTTTAAAATTTAAAAATCTGATAAAGCTATCAGCTTCAATTATAGATGGAACTGTGTGAAACCTCTCGTAACGACTGTTTAGAGGCTTTGCATTCTCACAACGCTCAGCCTCAGGTTTCAGGAGTTGACGTTATCGTTTCCATGACATTTTTATAAAAAGTATAGCTTTTCTTTGAAAGTCAGTGTAATATTAATTTCAATTATATATTTTCCAGGTGCAGTTACAGTAGATCATCTGCCTCACGGAGGAAGCTGCATATTTTCTATTTAAATTGTTAACTACTCATGTTTTCATTTGAAGCCTCAGTTCCACAGCTAGAGTGCATATTTATTACACTAGCTTTGCTAAATCTTAGACCCCCACGATAAACCACCTGTTGCCTTCCTAGGTAGCCATTTCTGTCCTAGAAGAGATCACAAGCTTGTCGGAGTTTCTACTGTACACTGTATGAGGGTTGATTTGTTTGGTCTGCGGCTTCATAATAATCAAATACCGTGTTTTGAGTATTGCTCTGCACTGATTAGGAAACACCTCTTGTCTCCGTATTTTCGCTCTCAGATTTGCCATTGGTCATCTCACACCTTCAGACGACACTCTGTGGTGTTACTCCAAGGTAGGTATCTTTAGAGTTTTTTCACTCTTGAGTTGTGGACGTGCACCTCCAAATTTCACAATGTGCCCTGAATATCTCTATTTAAGACTCAATTCATATCTTTCTCTAAAATGGGTTTCCAAAACCAGTCTCAAGGAACACTATTATCATCCCAACTCACAAATTCAGCATCATCTTTGACACTTCTTCTGATTCTTTCTTGGGCAATAAACTGAATAATTCTCTATTATTCTTTGAAAATACTTTATGTTGCCTTTCCCTCAGCTACTAATACTCTGTAGGTTTTAACATTATCACTGCCCCCTTTGACTAACTGCAGTAGCCTCTCAGTTTATGTACCCACCAGTTTTATGCTCTGCAAAACATTCTTTATGATCACTAAAGATCATATCTACCTTCCCCTCTTAAAATGTTCCTTAGTTCCTAGTTGTCCATGATAAAATGATGTGTTTTGCTATTTAAGGAACTGAATAATTTGAATTCTGTTGTTGTATCAGGGTTTGCAAGTGAAGCAATTTAATGTGGGACACATAATTTATAGGATTATTTTATAACAGTCACACAAAAAGTTAAATACAAAAGAGTGCAGGAAATCTGTCCATACACTATAGAACCAAAGAATTGAGCTTAGGGTCTGGATCCCAGGGCAATGTCCTGCATGAGTCCCGCTGAAGAGCTAGAGCCCACGACAATGCTGCCTATGAGTCCAGCTGGAGGCCAAGAGCCCATGATAGTGACTCATGTAAGTCAGTGTCAAGGATCTACACTGGGAAGGCCCAAAGGCTAGTGGTGGAAGCTAGAAAGTCTGTGCCAGCGGAATGAAGGATCTGTGCCAGCAGGCTGAGGGATCTGCACTGGAGCCAGGAAGCAATGCTTAAAGTAAGGACCAGAGCTCCCCCAAAGTGAACCAAAGCCATTCTCAGTGACAATGAGGTCCCGAGATCCTCTGATGATAACAGACCAGTTGATATTAAGAAAGCCAGAATGACAAGCTCCTCCAGCAGAATCAGCAACGCGCTTTTTCCTCTCCAGTTCTTTTTATGTTGATGGCAACAACCCTCAGGTGGGTTTCCCATGCCCAGCGCCATGCTGATTCAGTTCAGCTGGGTGTCACAAACTGACCAGCGGTGTCAACCCACCACACCTGTGTTCTTTCCAGAATCACTTCAGCCTCTTAAACAAATGATTCATTTCACTAAACAGGTTACTCATCTATCTCACTTGTAACAGTATATTAAAATCTCCTCCTCCTGCCTAAGTGCTGTGCGTATCCAAACTATCATGATAGTTAGTGTGTAACTCATTGAAGGGGTAACACTGTGCAGCCGTTTGATAATCTTTTTTATTATTGTCTTGAATTAAACCTAGCAAATGGATTAATATTGCTTTTTGTACTTTCCATCTCTAACTAGATTACAAAATTTGAAGACAGAGTATATCTTAATAGTTTTCATTTTTTATGGCATTCTAGTGCTTAGCCTAATTTCAAGTGCTTAATATGTGTTCCAAAAACGCTTTTCAACCTTATAGTCTATAAAAGATTAAACACCACTTGGCAATTTTTTTTCTGGAAACATAATCCAAAGCAAAATAAAAACTTGGAAAATAGAACTGCCCTTGTTTTATCTGAGAGCAGGAGATGTATCTGAGAAAGTCTGCAGTGTTCCGTGGGATCCAGGAAGCCACACAGAAAGAGAGGGGCACAGGACACGTGAGCACCGCCTGAGGAGATGAATGACCACGTGATAAGACACAAGTGCTTTATGATTATGAGAATAAGGAAAAGTCTTAGAAAAGAATCAGTGAAGTTTGCAACTATTCGGTTCTGCTATGGCCTTTCTAGTTTGGTAAGACTCTTCCTAAAATATCTACGATCTATGATTTTTTTAAACTCTTTACGTTGGTAAGTAGTAGTTACTCTAAATCATATAGAGTATTTGCAATTTCCAACAGAATCAGTTCAGGATATGTTGCAAAAATCCAAGTAGGAATCTATGTTGAAAGTGGTCCTTGGAAAGGATCTACACACCAAGTCTATATAAATGTAAACAGCCCAGTTTCTATGACATAATTGGACAGAAACATGGGCATAACATACACAGGAGACAAAACTTTGGCAACACTTGAGAGGAGGAGATCTGGTGCACAAGATAACAATGGCTGAAATGATAAAAGTCAGCGTGATTGGGGGCAGTGATGGTGACGTGTTTTGGCTCTGAATTATGTTGCTTTCTGGAATGCTGTGGTAGAATATCTGTTCTTTAAGACTGCATGAGGCAGTAGGGGTTAGGAACCCCTGCAGTAGAAACACTTGATTCACAGCCTTCAAAGAGTGACTCTCGCTGCTCATATCATTTGGAGAAAATGTGCGATATAACAAATACAACTGAAAATACAGCGTACGTCTTGACTTGTGCTCATCCACGTCTGGGTTAAGTTTCACATATTCCAAGAACTTCAAGTTGTTCAGTGTGGTGGACCCTGAGATTATGCAGTTTACAGCCATGGCTGGGCCTGATCTATCTAAACTTGCGCCATTGACCAAAAAGTGACTTCAAACATCATTTTACTATCTCTTCATCAAAGTTGTACATTTTGTTTTAATTTCCAGGAGAATGATTTTATTGTGTATTATGAATTCAAATTATTGAAAACGAAAATTCACAGAAATATTTATTACTCTATATTGTCAAAGAGTATATATTAGTACCATACTTCTTAGAAAAACAAGAACAAACAAAAATATCAAATAAAGCAAACAAAAGCACATGGAATCAGATTGCCTTGCCAAAAGAACAATGAGCAGTGTATATATAGGGTTTGAGCATATTGACAACTTAATAAACACAGTTGATCACATATACATACCAAAGGGAAATTCTTCAAGACTTTAACAATGAGAAAAGGGGCTGGGGATTTAGCTCAGCGGCATAGTGCCTGCCTGGCAAGAGCGAGGTTGTGAGTTCCATTCCCGGTACCAGAAAAAAACAAACAAACAAAAAAAAGAGAAAAATGTTATAATGCTTTCTGGGAAATGCTCATTGTAATTAAAACTTGTATATTGACATATCAGAGTTCATTTGCTTGTTAAGCTAACAGTCCTAGATTGTTGGTAAATTTGTTTGTCTATTTGAAATTATGAAATCTTTCATGTAATCTTTCAAATGTCCTAAATGTTGTGAAAAAATTATCTCAGAAAAGAGAAAAAATTGGAAAATATTATGCATATGAGTGACAACCACAATAGAATGAAAAGCTACTTTTCATTTAAATACTGACACATTTTGTCATGATACCTTAGTCTTCCATTAATATTTACTCAACAGCTTTGGGAGATAACTTACTGGCTAATGCAGAAATATTTTCACTGTAACTCTTAAGTCTTTGCCTTTAAGAAGCCTCCACTGACAAATA